TTTACGACACCATTATGCGATTTATTGGTCGTGTCACATTCAGAAAGAATGATATTTCCTAAAATATTTTCACAAAATATGTCGTTTCAAAACGGTGTCAGATTTCTATTACAAATTGCAATTTATCATTTTGTAAAGTAGGTACAAGTAACTGTTAATTCAACTAGTAAAACAATAAACGAATATAAAATGTACCGCTATAACAGCGTATGAACAGGATGCAATATTCTAATATTTGGTATTCGCGCTACGAATCGCTGTGACAGAGTGCTACGCCGCCAGTAGATGGGAACATTTCGATAAGCGGTAGGTAGCGCGCTTCGCGTCCCGAGCTGCGTGGCCAGGCGCTCAAATACTGCCAATAAACTGTTGTCCGGCACGTTAATCACTGGAACAGCCGTTCAATTAAACACAACAATTAGCCTGAAGGAAGATCTGTCAAACTATTTAACGCATAACGCAAGCGTTACAAAGTATGGTTTAGCTTAAGCTTTAATCGAAATCATGGTAAATATCTGCATAGCTTGTTGGCTTTATTTTATCTAAAATAAGTTTTTTTTAAACAGTCGATCTTTGTCCTTTCTTGAATGGTAGGCTAATAATTAGCTAATGAAAATCGCGCCGGGTGCTACTCTACTTCATAAATATTTTCCTTATTGCCTGTTACCACGAGCTGTCGATAAATTTATGGAAGGCCCGACGTCACCTGAAATTTTATGGTTTCTTTCTTCGGCACTCACCTTTTATATTTATAACTTGGGTAGTTTGAGCTTATGATATAAAAATATTTCTCCATTGAAAACGTACAATAGTGTGAGTACTTTATTAATATTAACAAGTTCTAATATTAATTTTGCTAATTGCATGTAATGAGATCTATGAACTCATTAAAACTAATTGAATTTACGTTACGCACCTATAATATACCTACTAGTACCTATAATAAAACGTCATAACATCTGATAGATAGCTACAAGTGTACGGGATAAAGCAATACAATGATTAGTTACTGTGAAAGAAACATCATGATAAACCTAAAGACATACTGACGGGAGCTTGCTTCCTGTCTATTAATATACTATGGAAACAAACATAGGATTTAAACAAAGATGTAATAAAACTAAAAAAAATAGAAAATCATTAGAACTAAGTAATCTGTGTTTACATTTGACTGTTTGTAACAATAGTTTCAGTTATACAGTTCGGTTTCGCTCACAAAACATGCCAAGTTGGTGTTTTTGAGCCGAAATGCGATTTGTGCCTCATTACTGACACCTGTGCGTTGGCCGCAGCGTTAGGACCGAAAAACTATCCTCGCACCGTAATGTCGCGCTCGCAACGGGCCAATATTCACCCAATAAATACTTGCCTTCTCCAATATTCACAGCGCTACTATCGATAGTTCCACGACTAATATTGAAATCGTGGAACTGAATATTTTATGTACCTACTTAGGCGGTATTTTTTATTGTGAATGTTCATGGTCTGAATATTTAAATTGATTATTCAATGGGACCGCATTTTTAATTTGATATTATAATTCATTTCATTTCCTCGCCCACATAATAACAAAGTAACCGAAGTTTGTACCTAAGCTTAATTACAAGAATATGATAATTTATGAAATTTATTATTTCCCGGCCGGGATACCTGGTCTGTTTGTAAACGTAAAAATAAAGTTTGTGCTACTATTGCATGGGGTTGCGCATAGCGATAGAGCTCTACTCAGTGCTAAATCTCAGCAAGTACATTAGCGTTTTCCGATATCTAAAGCATAGCGCTCACCGCGCGCGCGGCTGTGGTCCAGTTGAATAACAAAGAATTGCGTGGTTGAGATATCGGAACACTAATGGACTGCGGAATTTATGAAGCTTTCCAGAAGCTTGTCGTCGTTATGAACGTTGTATGTATAAGTAATGAGCTATATGTGGTAAAACTTGTGTTTCATACGTTTCGTAATATAATATCCATAAGTGAGTGAACGTGGATGCGAACCGAAAGCTGGGTTTATTTCCGCACAATCAATCAAGGCGACTTATGAGGGCGCATTCAGTTACTGCAAAATCCGAACTATGTAATTTTATAACTATATTGATATATTTGTGTTATCGATATAATTTGAATTCAATCACTCATATTGGATCTATAATTTCATTTCATAAACTAAGTATCTGTATTACAAATTAAACTATATTTTCATTTGTTTGAAACTATAAATCTTTCCAATCTCCATGCATACACTTGTAGCATATGCCTATGTATGTATATACATACGTTTTACTACATGTTAGTGAGTACCAAAACACATTATTTGTACTCTGTGGACCATGTATAAGTAAATATTTTCGGGTAACACGAGAGATATATCTTATTTCCATTGATTGTTCCATTGATCACTAAGAGCAGGGTCATTATTCACTATTGGAGAATCAATAAATTAATGTTCCGATGGTATCCAGACTGTCACAGAAATATTTAGTGAGGAATAACAAGTTGAACGATTGAATTGGTGCGAAGTTAATTGTGCAATGCGCTTTTAATGTAAAATTGTGGCAAGAAATGAATATGATAGTGTTGAATGTAGACATTACCGGTTTGTTAGAGGCGGCGGTAGTGGTGGTGGCGAGCCGGTACGCGCAAAGCGAGGCGCGCCGCGGCCTGCGCTGATGCTGCGGTATATGGTCCGTGAATAATCCTCCCGTAATACTCGACTTAATGGCTTGGAATTAAACAATTAGTTGTTTTCTTTCTGCCTCGTCAATGATGAAGCTTCGCCTGAATGCCACTGAATACTGTTAACTAAGATATTTCTTTCAAGGTATTACTTTGTCGGTTTGAAAAGTATATTTTAACATAACTTATTTTTTAATAATGCCGTGGTTGTAAAAAAGCCAATAAGTAATGTTTAGTGTGAAGTATATTCTTACGGTTTCGCGTATAATTCGTCTGATAAGCCGGCTCTTTGTTCATCTACAGAAAGGCGACGAGCAGACGTTTTAATCAAGGCTAACGAATTTTTAACCTTAGTAAGAGGCTGCGCGATATCAACCGCCTCCCGCCTCCCACTGAGTACGCCTCGCCACTTCTAGTGCTCGACGCGTTGTTCTTATCTTTGAGTAATTACCTTGTTGTTTTGTTTTTATTGTTCAAGCTTCCGAGTCGCTTTGTTTTATTACATGATCACTGTAGTGCTGCGGCAATTGTACTTTTTCCAAAGCTGTCATTCATAAAATAGATTTTTTAAGTCATTGTACAATAAGCGTTACTAAATATATTTGTTGTAATGTGATGGATATTGTGCTTACAAGTACTTATGTACTAAATTAATATTTTATGCAATTATAACACAATACGCGCCAAAAAGACTCCTTTAAACTAGACAAAGGTCAGATGGGTCAGTCAAATTCTGCCATATAAGACTAAGATTCTTTATACTTTCTAAAAAATGTTTCGTATAAGCATACCTTAATATACATCAAAATTCATTATCGTAGTTTACGAGTCGGCCACACGTGTAATTTAGTTTAAAATTAAAGTACCGTATGCGGTGTGCGAGTGCTATGAGGCCGTCAACTAGGCGGCTATAATATTCGTAAGAATATTTATATCGCAGCTCGGCGGCGGCGGCTCGCAGGGTGCATCTCACGTGCACCTGCGGATATTGCCGCGTAAATCAAATTTCTTATTTCGCCTCAACACTTATTTCTGCCAAGGCGTGTTTACCTAGAGCGATGTTCTTCTCGGTGTTCTGAGGTATCAAATTTCATGTTTCATTTACGTGTGGAAATGTGATTTAGGTCTAAAGGTATTCATTATTCTCCTAATAACATTACTAATACTAAGCACTATTGTACACAAAACTATCAACAAGCATATAATTAGTAGCACATATGTGTAATGCATACACCGCAACACGATGGCATGAATTACAGGCCGTAATGACCATCTATATGCCAATACGATTAATATTTAATGCTGCTATTCTGTGCGAAATTACCCGGTGTCTGTGGTTGAGCTTGCACTGAATTACTGCATCTGAATGGGTGTTGGACGCTTTGTCATCCCCCTGATATACCTGTGACTGCAGATTGGAATTCATCTCTCTGTGTAAAATAAATCTTAGAGCAGATTCGAATTGAATTAGGTATGTTCTCGATACATGTATTTTGAAATAAAGGAAAATATTCCCTTTTATCGGTTTGAATCCTTATAATTATTTTCAAAGACTTTACTTAAAGTATTTATTAATTTACTTACAAAGTAATAATTAGTTCGTAAATTTTATGGTTTATTTAATTTTGGAACGCTTTCCATTTGGATTAATTAATAAGGAAGCTGCAAATGCATATCATTACTTATTCATAATTATGTATCTGAAAAGCTTTGAGAAGGTCTTAGCTCGAATGAATGTTATTACATCAAAGTGAAAGCACTCATCTTACGGACCCTTGCAAATTAATTGCAGGAATGACAGAGCACAACGCCCGGCTCTCTTAATGCACGCTCACAAAGCAAAACGGCTTGGGCGGCACCGTCGCGGCACGCAGCACTGGTGATTATGATAATGACGCGGTAGCCGCGCTTTTTGCGTTGTTCATCCTATATTACTGACACGACACTCGACACCGTTTCTGATATCGCTCGTGCGCCCAGCACCGCTCCGTGCCGCGTACGAGCGCGATTTTGCCTTTTGCTGCTCGCCTCAACCACTCCGAGACGCTTATAAATTATGCAAGTCGCCATAATCCACGCCCTAAACGCCTTCTCCACTGCCTCAATTATTCATTCGAGCGGTTTGATGTTTTAGAAAATTGTCGCGATACTCAAGACGGGCTGTGCTTTATAATTCAGCAGACGAGTATCACCGCAGCTGCCACTGAATCTCTATATGTATAAGATAAAGTGCATACTGACCTAATTTGGACACAGATAATAATACTACCCCTAACAGTACTCGCGTTGTGGCCAAATTAATATTTTATTATATTTTCCTCTTGCAGGATTCAGAAGGCGACACTCCCTTACACGATGTCATTTCGAAGAAACGTGACGACATGTTGACTTTATTGTTGGAGCATGGAGCTGACATGACTCTTACGAACAACAATGGTTTCAACGCTCTGCACCATGCAGCTCTGCGAGGCAATCCAAGGTAATGCACTATATTTACAAAGAACATGTATCAAATAACTTCTTCCTTGAACTGGAGATAACTGTTTAGAGTACATCCTCCATGTGTGAGATATTCGACGATTATCATACATTTGTATATGGTTGAGAATATTCAGCATCACTTTAGTAACACGTTTGCTACGATAACAACAACCCCACATGATAGTAAAATAAAATAAGATATAATTTGTATAAAGATAATATTCGTACACACTTCTACAGGAGACCTTTATATCGTGGACTTTGTCTCAAATAAACATAACGTCGCTTGTTGTACGACATTATCCCTACGAGAATGGGTAGTTATGAGCGAGCCTGCCTCACAATAAACTGCTTACACGTCTAATACAGCGCTCAGAGGCGATGTGTGTTGCTTACGCCTTCTGATATCTTTATTGCTAGCAACGTTGGTGCATGTTTTATTTTGTACCTAAAATATGGGCTACAGGCGTATTTCTGATCATTCATTGGATTTAAAAATATTTTTTATAAATTAAAGAAGAAACGATTTAAGTAGTTTTTCATTGTGTGCGTGTAGTGTTTTCATTTTAACAATAATACTTAAGACACATATACCAATACACTTAATATCAGTTATTGATGTACAAAGCAATTTTGCTTTGTGGATTACGAATAAACACCAGTCAGATCTACTCATGGAACTCCAACGTAGCAAGTAGCGAGTTGCGTAGCAATGTAGCACATGTCGTAGCATCGTAGCAAATTCCGTAGCCAAGCGCAACTTGTGTAGCAGACGTAGCAGGCGTTTATGTCAATGCTCGTAGCACTATATTAAACTTTTCTGTTATCTGTAATTTCAAAATAATTTAGGTATTCTATAGATATTTATTTACTGTAATAAGACTCAATCTATTAACGACTATGAAAATATAAAAAATGTTGATTTTAATACTATATAGGTACCATTCGAATAAATCATCATAACTTCACAATATAAGAATCATATTAATAAACTAAAGTACTTAAAAGATCCCGACCATTCTATATTATGGATCGAAACCCAGAGACCCGTAAGGGAGGGTGGTCAGATAAAACTGATCTATGAAAAAGAAAACTTTGGTAATGTATTATGAATCGGTAAGAGTTAGAATAATGAATCTCCGCTGCCGAATCGTGCGTAAAGCGGTTTATTTGTGGAGGGTCCGAGGAGACGCTGGAGTCGCGGAGGCCTGCGCAACGACCGCCCACATTTATTCAAGTCACGTGACGCGTCCCAGGGAAATAATACGAAATGTGGCTACGTGACCAGTTCATTATGCGGCGGCACAGAGCCCAGCCCCGGCAGTCACCTCGCTCTTCTTCCGACACTTTTTCCTATGTCCGTCCGCTCCCGGCTCCCGGTTCCCAGCGCATATTACAAACAACGGAACGTGTTGCGACGCACCGACCCTCACAGATTTCTTTAAATCTGATCGGTCAGATTTTCTTAAAACAACTACTTACCTAGTAGTATGTTTGATAGTTGAAAAATACTACACTTAGATGACCGCTTCGCCCATAAAACTGTACAAACTTAAACTTTTGTAATTTACATAAAAAAAAAACAAAACTGTTAAAACGTTTTTGCTTAAGATTGTTGTTTAACGGAAGGTAATCGAATAGAAGATTGTCGTAAAACGTTCCTGATTTTATCGCGGAATGAGAAGTCGCTCGCGACTTTTCCCATTCGACAAAAACGTTCGTTTCCCCCTGGAGATGTAAAATCGTTTTATTTTATTACTTCCGCCAGTATATCGTAATATCAAGAGGAACCGTCCTCCTAGGTTAGGAAATATCCTTACTATATTGAACGACTTTGATGTTCCTCGCTCTCTCAATTAAAACGTGTTAAACTTTGCTCGTATTTTGTCAAGTCTAAGGAAGATAACATAACTTGTAGGTAATACTATTGTCAATTTACTTAAATGATACGTAGTCGTTACTTTTTGATACAATTTATCTCAAAAGATTGTTTTTATGAATTCACATAAAGTTATGTAATTTTGATCGCCATTTTAAATTTAATAGGGAACGGTTGTTCAATTCCACGATATGTTATTAACTCGCAGCATAAACCTACATTTAGTTACACCAATACGTAAATCTAAAATATATTTTAAAGAGAGATAACAAATTAAGGAGTTATACTTAAAATGTATTTGGGAAACTTTACATAGCTTTTGATTAATACAATATTTGGCTTGAACCTATTATCGGCAACGTGAACATCTGCGTTTGTTTCGCCGCACACCGCCGCTACTCATTCGATAAGACGCGTATCCGCGCCTGGCATTAATCGCAAGCTTAAATATTTTAACGCGTCGTAACATTGATTTATTCAGAGCGTAATCTCAGCTCGCGGCTTGTTTGTTCTTAGGCTCGAGACGTATAGGTAAGATTAAGCTACGCGCCCTCAATCCACGCCGGCCGGAGCTATCAACTCTTTCCTTTACTAACACTAGATATACTAGTTAACAGACTTGTTCTATATTATATCAAAATAATAGTTTACTAATTTATGCATCACTGCATGTATCTCTATAGTCTATGTACTGTGCTCTATTTTGTCTATAGTATGAAAAAAAAAAAGTAAAAACCATCACTTGTGCAACCGACTTCTCGAGTTTTATTAGGTTATGGACCCAGTCCCACATTTTTTCACAAAAGTTAATAGTGTAAAGTTAGCAGATTTCGCGAAAAGTGTTTAAAAATGAATTCTAATTATCTGGCGAATGTACCAAAGTTGAAGGGTCGTGAAAACTACGACGATTGGGCGTTCGCGTTAGAAAACTTGCTGATACTGGAAGGTGCGGACAAGTATCTGAAGCAAGAACCTACTAATACTGAAGCTGCAGCATCTGCAGTAGCAGCTACGACAGACGCAAAAACACGGGCGAAAGTGATCTTGACGATTGACTCGTCATTGTACGTGCACATAAAGCAGGCAAAGACTACGAAGGAATTGTGGACAACGTTGAAGTGTTTGTTTGACGATTCAGGATTTTCGCGGAGAATTACTTTGCTACGTCATTTGATTTCGATCAGATTGGAAAACTGTGAAAATATGACGAATTATGTGACACAAATTGTCGAGACTTCACAGCGATTAACGGGCACTGGATTTGAAATTAACGACGAGTGGATTGGTTCATTGATGCTGGCTGGTTTACCCGAACGATTTATGCCTATGATTATGGCCATCGAGCACTCTGGGATCGGCATAACAGCAGATGCAATAAAAACCAAACTGCTGGATATGGAGTCAGTTCAAGTGAGTGAAACGGAATGTAACTCGGCATTAGTTGCAAAAAGTTGGAACAAGAAAAATAGAAATGGCAACACTACTAAGCATAAACCACAGACATCGCATACGCATCTGTCAAACTCAAATGTCAAAACAATTACATGTTACAAATGCAAGGAAACAGGCCATTATCGCAATCAATGTCCTCTTTTACATGAAAGACAGGAGAAGAAAAAACAGACTAACGCTTTTAGCGTTGTTTTTCTCAGCGGGAATTTCACAAAGCAGGATTTTTACATTGACAGCGGAGCAAGTATGCACTTAATTGCGAATGAAAAATGGTTAAAAAATCCGCAATATTCACCAAAGTTGCCGGATATTGTAGTAGCGAATGAAACTAAAGTTCCAGTTCTATGTTCCGGAGACATTGTAATTACAACAAGTCACGATTACGAAGTTACAGTGAAGAATGTTTATTGCGTGCCAAGTTTAGCGACTAACCTATTATCAGTCAGTGAACTGATAAGGAATGGAAACAGTGTAAATTTCGAGCTTAATAAGTGCCTCATACGAAACAAATCAGGTGATTTAGTGGCGGAGGCTGTTCTTATTAACGGAGTATACAAGTTGAACCTGAAATCGACACATACTTGTTTCTTAACCTCTCCAGTGGTTGATGGTGACACATGGCACAGGCGATTAGGACATCTGAACAGCAGTGACATGAACAAAATGAAGCGTGGTTTGGTAAAAGGCATGGATTATCCAGATACATTCTCAACAAGCAAGTCGGAATGTGAGATATGCTGTGAAGGGAAGCAATCAAGGTTGCCCTTCTCTACAGGTACTCAAGCCACCGAAATACTTCAAGTTGTTACATCTGACATTTGTGGCCCCATGGAACAGTTATCTATTGGTGGTGCTAGATATTTTTTACTGTTCATCGATGCATTCAGTAGAATGACTTTCATCTATTTCTTAAAGGCAAAGAGTGAAGCATTAAGTTATTTCAAAGAATTCAAGTCGATGGTAGAAAATTATAAGAATAAGAAAATAAAAATCCTGCGTACTGACAATGGTTTGGAGTATTGCAACAGAGATTTTGAAAATTTTCTGAAGAGTACAGGCATAGTACACCAAAAAACCAATCCTTACACGCCAGAACAGAATGGTACTAGTGAGAGATCCAATCGTACCATTGTTGAACGGGCGAGGTGTCTCCTATTTGAAGCTGATCTCGAGAAGAAGTTCTGGGCAGAAGCAGCAAACCATGCTGTCTATCTTAAGAACAGGTCAGTAGCTTCAGGTTTAGAAAAAACACCATATGAAATTTGGACAGGCAGAAAGCCAAATCTAACAAACCTACGTGTATTTGGCAGTCCTGTTATGGTCCACATACCCAAAGAAAAGAGGACCAAGTGGGACAGAAAGTCTAAGAAACATATACTTGTAGGATACAGTGAAAACATCAAAGGTTATAGGATATATGATCCAACGAAGAACACAGTGACTACTAGCAGAGATGTAGTCATACTAGAACAGAAGACCAAGCAAGACACTGCTACTGTCTGCATAGAAAATACAGATTCAGTGGGGGAATTATTGGAGGAATCTGTAGTTAAATTGGAATCTACAGAACAGTCGAGCTCATCTGAATCGGAGTACCTGGATGTCAAAAACCAGAAATACTCAGACGATGCTTCAAACAGAGCGGTTAACTCACCAGAAATACCCACAGAA